CAGTCAACACTGATTCCAGTTCCATCCATTTTTCTGCAAATGTAATGGTTTTGCTTTGCTTTGTGGCTGCATAAAACCCATTTCTATGCCATATTTTCTTGCCTCTTATCAGTTGATGGACTTCTAGGCTGGCCTCATTTCATGACTATTATAAACATGGTAGTAATAAACATAGCTGTGCAGAGATCTCTATGATATGCTTAGAGTCCTTTGGGCATATGGCTCCTGTTTGTTCTACCTGGGTCATGGACTAGTTCCATTTTTATTGTTTCCTGGAACCTCCATGCTGAGTGGCTGCTACCCCGTTTTCCATCTTCACCAGCAGTGACTAAGGGTCTCCTTTCCCCAGATCCTTGCCTGCATTTGCTGCCCTTTGGTTTCTTTGATGGCAATTGTCTGACTGGGGTGAGATGGAATCTCAGAGCATTTTCTATATGTGTTTCCCTGAAGACGAGGGATATTTAGTTCTTTTTCAAGTACTCTATAAGCTGCATTTCTACTCATTAAGCCTGTGAGAGATGATGGGTCTCCATTAGATAAATGGAGAACCTGTCCCTTTTAAAATCCGTTCTCAGGAAGAAAGTTGGTTAGGCACCCTGAGTTCCTCAAAAAAATTGCAATTAAATTAGTAGTCCCTAAAAACTAGTCTCTGTAAACAGGAAATTTATAAAATTTAAATGACATTAAGTATTTGAAAGAGTATGGTATGGTATGTATTATGTGTCAAATGATGGGTATAAGTTTCAAACCCTTTCCTATGATAGCCAGGGTTAAGTATCAGACTGACAAGTTCTAAATTTGTGCCTCCACCTCAGAACCATCTCCTGAATTCCAGACTCAGGCAGCCAACTATGAGTATGGGCTTCTTGATTTAGAGATCCAATAGATAACACAGACTCCAGCAAAATCACAGCTTCCATGGAAGTTCCAGGTCCACCTTCCAGATACTCTGACTCAATGAAGGTATCCTGTATGCTTGACAATCAGTCTCTCCACTCCTCACTTCTCTCTTTTTCTCCTTCTCTTCTTCCTTTTCTCCTTCCTCTCTCATCACACCCAGACCACTATTTTTGTAATAATTCAGACTCAGAGAACTGCTCATCCCTTCTGTGGCTATATTCCTGCTCAGATTGTCATCAGGCCCATTTCCGATGTCATAGAAATCCCACAACCGTCCTTTCTGCTTCCACTGTCTCTCTATCGTTGTCCGTTCACACCAGAGTGCCTTGGAGCCCTTTTACGACCTATAGTTAATGTCACTCCTCTGCTCAATAGCTCTCCAATGACTCTACATATCAAAGTATAAGTCAGACCTTTAGCTGTCTAGAACACCTTACTTCCCAGGCTGCCTTCCTTGCCACATTTTTTTAGTCCCTTTCGCCTCACTTCCCTATGCAGCTACACTTATGTCTTATTTTGTACAAGACTGGAACACTCCAGTTGCACAGACTTCCTCCACAGCCTGGGCTGCTTTCTCCCCAGATGTCTTCATATATGATTTCTGTGGGCCCGTGTTTTTGATCTACTCTATCTCTCCCAGGTAGTTTACCCTCCATCCCTGTCCTAGCAAGTCTCTTTATTCCGCTCTTTCATTCTCTGAAGCACTTGTCACAAAATAGGATGTATTTTTATCTATTTACTGTCTTTTCATACATGTGTTGTGTGTGTGTATGTGTGTGTTTCTTTGTCTGTGTCTATGTGCCTGTGTCTGTGTATACAGTTACATACATGTGCTCAACACCTGTGAAGACCCTAACCTGATGTCAGAAATCTTCGCTCTGATTTCTCACCTTATTCTTTGACACATGGTCTCTTGACCATAGCCCAAGCATGCAATTTGGGTTCTTCTAACTAGCCATTAGCTCAGGAAATCTCTTGTCTTCATAGTCAGAACCATGCCAGCTCACTTACATTTATTCACATGGTTCTGGGATCTGTACTCCAGTGCTCTTGCTTGCAAGTAAAGTACTTTAACCACTGAAAGTGCTTCAGCCAGGTTTGTTTATTATACTCATTGTTTGTTTGCCTCTTTCATTACAGTTTGAGCTCTGCCTTGAAAGTCACTGTTTTTGATTTCTTTCATTGATATCTCTCAAGTGAATATAACCATGTCTGGTAGACAGTAGATAACTCCCTGAACACAAGTGGAATAAACTTGGTAAAAAAAATCAGATAAAGAAAAAAAAATGCTTTCTAAAGATTCATTGTATTGTACCCAACAAATTTATCTAAAAGAAATCCTTCTAAACAGTGCATCCTTTAGGGTGATGAGTTTGCAATGTGAGAAACAACTTAGAAGCCATTTATATTATATAGCTGAAGCTGATTCCTTTTCTGGTGCACAAAGAATTCAGTGTGGTGATCTTTTTTCTCTCCATTACCTGAAATGTTCTACAAATAATTATCCAAGTGGAAAAAAATCCTCCCCCATTTTTTCTCCTTATACTTGTTAGTTTACTTAAGGATTCAAAATCCATCAGTGTCTTTATTCCTGTATGATTTGGAGAAAACACCTTTTCAAGACAAATAATTATCTTTATTTGAAAACATAGAATCCCAGCACAGTGTTCGCACTGCTCATCCTCCTATAGAGCTGGCATTTTCATTCACTACCATGTGCATTCTGTCACCAGTTCTTAAATTATCCTTCTTAGGCTGGATTTGTGACATTGTGCGTCATCAAGAGCTGTTCTCAATGATGCAGATTCAATTATGTCTCCCATACAGACCAACTATCTAATCTGCCCGCAGTAAAGCTATATTAACCTCTTTCTCTGTAGCAGAGCCTTGGCCAGGTCACAGTGGGAGACTACAGCTGTGTCCACAGCTGCTACCTCCAAACAGGAGGCATAGTTTAAAGTCCTGGACAAGCGCCTTTTAAAACCTGAGTTTTAGGTGTCTGGCAGGGCCATCTTCAGTATTTGTGGCCTTTGTTTTAATGGCCTGTTCCACTCCTCCTACAAAGTGACCCTTTTGTTCATTCTTGGGGCACATACATATTGCCTCTGCGCTCTTCATCCAAACCTCATTCCCAGAAATAGCCTATAATTTATGTCTTAGTGTGAACGATATGCCTTATATTCACTTTCCTATCTAATTTTCAGTTTAAAAAGCCTTTGTCTATTAGAAACTAAGAGTAAGTTGATCAGAGATGTATTGTGAGGGGACTCTAGGACACTATAAAAATCTTAAGGGGCATATCAGCCTGATCAATTTTTATAGTGTTGACTACTAGAATTATGATTATGTACGACTTTTAATGTTTTTATTTGTTTGGGTCCTAAATGGTGTATAATGATATGTTCCGAAATGCTAGTTGTTTTTCTTCTCTTTATTACTACTTAGACAATGTGGAAATAAGCAGAAAATAAGAACCATATGTATTTCCACTACTTTCTAGGATTATCATTCTGATGCTCTTCAGTCTCTAGGGCTGAGATATGCATTTGAATTACTTATAAAGTTGGCAAATGACAAACCACAGCTTTATTATTATATATTATTATTCATGAAGCTGACAGGTTGCACTGTTTAATTGGATATTTTCTCATGAGTTTTCTGCTTAGTAACATTTTAAATATTCTTGATGTGTACTCATCTTTTGGATGGTGAGTAAAGTCTGTCAAATATCACTTGACAACATCTACTTTCTACTTTTTACCCAGTTTAGGTATGCATTATTTTTATTTTAGAAATTATGAATTGGCCTTTTTAACCTATTTAGATAATAAATTTTGAGTATTTTCTCCTAAAGATAGTTTAACTGATTTTGTGTGTGTGTGTATGTGTGTGCATGTGCACATGCATGCACATGCATGCATAGTGTACATATGAGGGACAGAGAAGGATCTTGATTACCTTCCTGCCATGTTTGAGATACAGTTTCTTGTTCATCACTATCTGATTATTGTTTTAGCATTTTGGTTATGACTTTATTCACAATTAGCTTTGTTTGTGCATGTTATGAACTTAGTGAGAGCTGAGCATCCTGGGAGAGTGGAACATCCATAAAACACAGTGAAAATAGCATGGCCTTTGGTAGTGAACTTGGCTTTAGACATTGATTCATTAGTCTTCCCATCTGAGTGACAGTCACATGTTTGACATGTGACTTCGTTAAAATTTTTATAAACTATTTCCCTTATATCCTACCTTAGTGGGTATTATAAAGTTTTAATAAGGCGACATGTACTGCGATAGTAAACATCCAAGGAATAATTGCTTATGATTAGTCATTATAAATCTTGCTATGAACATGTGCTTCTGAATGCAAGGCTTCAGTATAGTGTCAAATAAGATATACAATGCTTCTCTTGATGCGAAACCAAGTGTTAAGATTCCTGAGGGAAAAAGTCTTTCACACTCTCATGGGTTGATTCTTACAGGGGTGCACTCATTGTGTGTGTGTGTGCGTGCGCGCATGCACGTGCGTGCATGCGTGCACGCACATGTGCACACACGCATGTGCATCACTCATGGATGCACTCATGGAGAAATTGTTAATGAAAATAGTGTTAGGCAACCGTAGATTGGAAGTAACAGTTATCTGGACACCCCAGTTATAATCATAGAAATTGAGTTGCTCAGGAAATAATCTAAAATGATCTTCCACACAACCTTTGGAACATTCCAGCCTACTTGGGAGTCTAAAACAGACAGCAGTGTCCCAGATTTCCATGAAAGTCAAGAGTCTGACAGTTTCTTATGGAACCTGGTTTGTTTAGTGATTTCTGGGAAAGAGCCAAAGTTGTTTACCTTCCCCTGTTCGACCCCAAGGATAGAACTCAGATCATTGCACTTGACATTAGCTACCTTCAGCCCTAAGCCATTTTGCTTGCCCAGAGGAATTCTTTTCTCTTTCTTTCAATTATAGATGTGCAAGGCGATGAGATAACCATGTTTAATTTTTACCTTAATTGACAGGAAATAGAGTTCTTTGTTCTATGTCTTAAAGGAAACCAGAAAAGCAGCATTGCTAGAAAAGCTCATAGTGCTCCTACCTCAGTGTAGTTTGCTCTTCTGTTTCTTACTTTATAATGTAGTTCCAGGAGTTTCAGGGACTTCTGAAAGATGTTGGTTGCTATAAAAGGACGTGATACAATTGATGGTCCTTGTTCTCACTGATACATCCACTAATCTACTTATTTGTTCTTTCACTTACTCACCCATCCACTCATTTATCCATCTACTACCCACCCATCCATCCACCCACCCACCCATCCATCCACCCACCTACCCACCCATCTATCCATTTATACACTTATTCACCCATCCATCCATCTACCCACCTATTTACCCATCCATTCACCCACTCATCCACCCACCCACCAGTCCATCCATCCATCCATCCATCCATCCATCCATCCATCCATCCATCCATCAATCTACCAGACCCACCCATCCATCCACCCCCTATTCACCCATCCATTCACCCACCCATCTAATCACTCATCCATTCATTCAATCACCTACCACCTATCCTTTCATTCATCATTTTGTTTAACAACTAACAAATTCTGGGTATAGGATCTAAAACCAGACCAGCAAAGCAATACAAAACTTCCCTTAGTGACCAATTAGTCCTTTGAAATGAGGTCACATTTTAGAGACTCTTTGAATACTGGGAACAATGAGATGAAACGCTGTGCATGTTTGCGCTATGTGTTTTTTAAAATGTGGCTTGATTGAATAAAATCATAAAATGCCTTTCTGGTGGGAGCCATAGTGACATTAATTAGTCCCCCCCCCCGACTTCCTGCTGCTGACCTCCTTCTTACAGTTCCCACATGCAGCAAACTGAATATTCATTCTGACCCAATTCTTCAGCACAGCTTGAAAATTGCATTTATTTATTTATTATACATGTTTGTCATACATAAATTCATGTATTTATAAATAAATATATCATGCATATATTAAATAAATAATAAAGGCTTCTGGAATGTGAGCCGTTGGTTCCATTGTATCATTTGTAGTTGCCCTAAGAGTCCAGTTCTTTGCTCCTCAGACTCCTTCAGTAAGGGATACATAGTGTGGAATTCTGTCCTCATGGCAGCGATTGTCAAATCTGAAGATGCAACCTCAGGCTCTTGCAACCTTCCTTCCAAATTTAGGTTTATGACTGAATCCTGGAGTGTAACCCATAGGAGCCTACTTAGGGATATCTTCTTGACAGATTCCTAGTATGGTCCAGGGCCACACTTGGAAAGTCCTATACCACATTTTTTTTTCTGAAAACTGACAGGGACTCATCTGTTTTTCCTCAGCCAGAGTCACTCTGACATGGGGAATGCCAACAATGTTTAAATATTCATATCTTCCTTAAAGATTGGGAGACAGTAAACTGGCCCCGTGGTGGAAACTGCAGACAAATTGTCCCTCGCCCTCAGCAGAGGGGTTATTATAGAGATTGCCCCCAGGAAACTGCATAAAGAAATATGAAGAAGGTATTCATTTTATCAATGGGGGATGAGACATCCCTCAAAAGCTTTCTATTTTGGACTCATCTATGACTGAACTTTCCACAGGCTTATGGGTGTTTAGTACTGGAAAGAAAAGAACAGGGTAAGAGGTCAAATAGGACCAATGTGTCCAAGTGGAACCACTTTGTACCTGTGAAAATAATTGACTTTTAAAAAAAAAGCAAAACCAATAAAGAGCATCCAATAGAAGCTTTTTAAAATTAAATAATGTGTTCTATCTTTAAAGAAAGGCTTTCTAATATTGACTTGGAGTATTTCCAGGCTTATAAATGAGGATTGACAGATGTTCTGGATCTAAAGGGTGTTTTTTTTCTTTCTTTTTTTTCCTTTCCACCTAAAAGATAATGATGAGCAATTATATTTTTGAGTAACAGAGAGTCAATAATCCAATTAATAATGGATTTAACTAAACAGAGTTGTATAATTAGATTCTTTAAAAAATAAGAACCAGATTTTCCTTTTAGTTCTCTAGAGGCAACTGTTTGCTAGAAGTCTTTGTGATGAAAGATGTGTTTTATGTGTGCTTCATGGGGCTGTTAGACATGGGCACTGTAGCCAGTGCTCCCGAGGAAATGAAGTTTAAATCTGATTTAATTTCAGTTATTGTACATTACCTTATGGGTGGCATTTGATTATGTGTCTCTAGAAGAAAGTATAAAGTAGATCTTTTCTGTAGCTACAGAAGAACCAATGGTTATCTCTTCACCAATAGGAAGCTTCAGGGTTGTTCAGCGTTCGAGTTGCGTGAGACCTTCATGTTGGTTTCTAATGAAAGAGTCCTTTGAATTTGCCATACTTACAGTAATGTAAGCTTGTACTACTTTGGTTCTGAGACCCCCTCTTTTAAGGAGAGTAGGCTACTACATATTATGCTGTGCTGGTCTATATAAAGATAACCAAATTGGGTTGGCGCCATCTGGAGCTGGGCAGGCAGCATAGCATGCATGGCCACTCCTAGATCATGTCGGACCTTATGCCACAGTGCTTGATATGATTTCAATTTTTGACAGATGAATTAAATAGGGAATATGCACCTCAAACATAAATGTGCAAGCACTAAAATGTAGTCTTAAACTTTAGGGTTAAGTCTTTTTTAAAAGTTGTCTTAAACTATGCAGTGATGGGAGTATAGAAGTTATAAAAATTATGTAAAGTTTTGTCTTTAATCACTCTGAATTCATTAAATTTCTCCATATTTTTTCACCTTATTTAGGATAATTGTTAACTTATTTAGAATAAAAAGATTATTTAGACATGCAGTGCACGTACTGGTTAATGAATAACGAAAATAACAACATATATTGAAATGCAAAAACCTGAAATAATGAAAGTAAAGCTTGGATTAAAATATCCCATGTACAATCAACAAAGGAAGAGGAGTGAAAATTTTGTGTATGTTGTAATAGGAGTGGCGGGCTATGTTCCTGGCGCCCGGCCGCCCGCATGGCTAGCTTTATCTGAAATAATTACACAGAAACTGTATTTTTTTTAAACACTGCTTGGCCCATTAGTTCAAGCCTCTTATTGGCTAGCTCTTACATATTGATCTAACCCATTTCTAATATTCTGTGTAGCCCACGAAATGGCTTACCAGGAAAGATCTTAACATGCGTCTGTCTGGAGTGGGAGAATCATGGCGACTGCCCAACTCGGCTTCTTTCTCCCAGCATTCTGTTCTGTTTACTCTGCCTACCTAATTTTCTGTTCTATTAAAGGGCCAAGGCAGTTTCTTTATTTAACCAATGAAATCAACACAAAACAGAAGACTCCCACATCATGTGTATTTAGGTGAGCTGTTGCAGTGTGGCAAAATGAAGAGGGTGAAGGCAAGGAAGGTGACATGGGGAAAATTGTTTGGGTAGGGATTTTTTTAATACACTCTTACTGCATGTTCATTATGCATACTAACAGAACCCAGAGTGACTTTCTATGTTTGTATGACTTGATGTTTACAATGCCTACCGACCAAATGCAACCTCATTTTGTCATTCCGTTTTTCAATGTCTATAAATAACTTTTGTTTTCATGTTGATTTCCTTTTGACTTTCACTTGTGAGTGAACATGCGCTATTTATCTTGTTGGCGTCTATCACTTAATATCATGTCTTTGAGTTCAAGCATTTATCCCAAGTAACAATTTCATTGACTTTATCACTGTTTAATATTCTGGTGGTGTTTGTGTATGTATCACATTCTTTCTTCTACCTAATGATCAAGCCCTCTTGGGCTGATTCTGTCTGTATAACTACAATCAACAGATTGTCTGTTTGGTATAATATTTCATGAAGCAAGTTTTGAAGACAGACATAGTATGGGATGGGGAGGAAAAGGTGGACCTACTTGGGCTAGGATTTTGCTTAGAATTTTAATGACAGCATTCCCCCTTTCATTTCTCTATCTCGTATGCTAGAGGGATGTATACAGATGTTTAGTGATGATGTAACTAACATTCACCATTTTAGAAATTTGTTGATACTTGCATTATTATTCACTGAGGACACCAAGGTTTGAGCCTATTTCTAATAGAAAGACACATGCATTGCACCATAGGCACTGGTATTAGTATAAAGAGTTACATATTTGCAGAATTCAAGCAGTACAATCCTACTGCAGGACATGATCCATGCAGAATCATGGGAGAGCTTGAGGCATGGGATATTGAAGGAACAAAGCACCTGAAAGAGTCTGAATCATAGTAACTACATTGCTTTATTTTGTTGTTGATGGAAGTAATGTGGAGAGTTAGATGGGTTAGCTTTAGCCTGGGCAGTGGCACTGTGGATCTTTTTTTTTTAATTGATTTTTATTGAGCTCTACATTTTTCTTTGCTCCTCTCCCTGCCTCTCCTCTGCCCCCTTCAACACTCTCCAAGGTCCCCATGCTCCCAGTTTACTCAGGAGATCTTGTCTTTTTCTACTTCCCATGTAGATTAGATCTATGTAAGTCTCTCTTAGTGCCCTCACTGTTCCCTAAGTTCTCTGGAATTGTGGTTTGTAGGCTGGTTTTCTTTGCTTTATATTTAAGCATTGTGAATCTTAAAGATATACAGGAGATGAAACCAACAGCAGATTTGTCAAAACATTTGCTTTGAATTGGATATTTTTTTCTAAATGCACAATTGCTGGGAAGTTGGTGATTCCCATCTTGGTTGTGCTGACTGGCATCCAACTAAAGAGTCAAAACTAACTTCGAATAGTCAGCCAAGAGATGCAGGCAGATGCCTCAGAAATATTTATAATTGCTTTTCTCATGCCTGCCAATGGTTTTAGGAAGTGTTTGCTATATTATGTATTTTGATTGTTGCTTTGTTCTAATGTATGTTTGTCAAAACATAAAATAAGAGGACAACAAATATCTGGCCAAATTTCCAAATCACTTCTAGGATTTGGCCCAAGGTTGAATGATTCTTTTATTGCTTCTGGGTTTCATGGACTCAGCAGCACCCAGCATCAGCCCTTTGGCCCTGTCGCAAATGAGGAATGAGATGAGAGTCCAGCAAACAGATACCAGAGCCAAGTGCTGCTCTGAGAAATTCTAGCATGTGTTCTAGCCACTGAAGAGACTTTATGTTCATACTGTGCAACTCTTGAGGGACTCGTACTACCAAGCTGTGTGGTTAGCCAAGATGTGGGAGAGGAGCACGGGGAGGGGTAGGGCTCATGACATGCTCTCTTTCCTCCTCATTGATGAACATCCTTCATGTGCATCCACAATTTAAAGGAGAGAATGGACCTTCTTCTCTTCTGAAATAAAATATATTTTTTAACTATAATGGTATATTTTGTTGTACCCACTATAGCTCCTTTTATTTGATCGATTTTTGGGTTTTTTGTTTTTGAGACAGGGTTTCTCTGTAGCTTTGGAGCCTGTCCTGGAACTAGCTCTTTAGACCAGGCTTGCCTTGAAGTCACAGAGATCTGTCTGCCTCTGCTTCCCGGTGCTGGGATTAAAGGCCTGTGCCATCCCTGCCCATATTTGGTGTATTTCTTATCCTGCCTCAAATTCACTCATAACTCAGACCTGAGTTGGCTGTCTAGGACCTTCTCCAGTTTCTGAATTTGTGAGCATTACCTGCAGGTGATTAGAAACAGGCAGACACAGTTTTTTTTTATCTATGCAGATGTTTGGAGACCAGAACTGGAACAACACAGCTGGCGGTTGCAATAATTTATATTTTAAAAAAGGAGTGGTGAGAGGGGTAATAAAGAAAAAAATGAAGTTTAGGAAAGCAATTTGAAGAATTGAATAAGATCTTCAGCTGGGACTTTTAAGAGTTGACTTTTAATTGCTTAGTTTTAAATGGGTGATTATTAGATGGAATGTTATTTTGATTATTAGTGAATTTATTGATATAGCCCCTCATTTATATTGTGATGTATATCACATTTCACAAAGATGCATGTTTATATTTCTGAAATGTTTTATCTTAGAAATTTTTTAGATAATAATTTAAATATGATGCCCACAGGTGAGTATTACATCAGAACAGGCTCAATGCAAAATTGTTCATTTGTGAATGTCATCTAAGGTTCTTTCCATATATCGTGGCTATAGTGATCATGAAAGAAAGGGCTTGCTCTCTAATAGCTGTAAGACCTTTGTAAGACCATGACTTTAAAAATGTCCCACTCTCGTGATTTCCTATCACCTGGAGACTAATAGAAACACAGTGTCTCAGATCCCAGTCTGACTTGCTGAAACTGAAGCCCTGGAGCAGGAGTCTAACAATCCCCATTTCAGCAGGCTCTCTATGTGATTGTGAGAGATTTACTGGAAAAGACATCAACCAATGATTACATATTCCAGGAAACACTGGAGGCTTTGAAGAAATAACCCAGAGACTGAAGATAGATGGTACAAAGGGGTACAGTTCACATAGCAGGGAAAATAGAGGCCCTTTTGGCATGTAGTTCAGGAGGAGGGGCTTTGCAGTCACCTAGACTTTAATGAGTTTGGATACTGGTGGAACTGGGATGTATTTTAAGAGCAGATCTTCTGAATTTTCCATTTAATTGGAAATATGGATAAAATGGCAAGGTGACTGCAGAGTTGTGATGGTACCTACTGAGAGCTCATGGTTCCCCAGCGAATCACCTCAGATATAGGAAGATGAAGAACAATGACTGGGAAGGAGCTGGGGAAAGCAGTACTTAGAGAATAACACATTGAATTTTGAAAACTTCAAATTGCTGATGCAACTCACTGAACTGCAGTAAAACAATGTGCTAGAGTGATTGCCTAACATTAATGAAGTCCTGGTTTCACACCCAACAGCAGCAACAACAGCATCAACACAGACACACACAGACACACACCTAGAAGAACATAGCACCTAGAAGAACACCTAGAAGACACACCTAGAAGAACATAGCAAAGCTGGAGCTGGAAAGAATACATAGAGTCACCTTATCATTATTTTTGCTTGCTTGTTTGTTTGTGAGTTTGATTGATTTTATTGAGCTATACTTTTTTCTCTGCTCCCCTCCCTCTATCTCCCCTCTCCTTCTTCCCTCTCCCATGGTCCCCATGCTCCCAATTTACTCAGGAGATCTTGTCAAATTCTACTTCTCATGTACACTAGATCCATGTAAGTCTCTCTTAGGGTCCTCATTCATGTCTAGGTTCTCTGGGGTTGTGAATTGTAAGTTGGTTTTCTTTGCTTTATATCTAAAAGCCACTTATGAGTGAGTACATATGATATTTGTACATATATTCTTTCTGAATCTGGGTTACCTCAATCAATATCATGTTTTCTAGATCCATCCCTTTGCCTGCAAATTTCAAGATGTCATTATTTTTTTCTGCTGTGTAGTACTCCATTGTGTAAATGTACCACATTTTCCTTATTTATTATTCTGGTGAGTGGCATTTAGGTTGTTTCTAGGTTCTAACTATGACAAACAATGCTGCTATGAACATAGTGGACCACATGTCTTTGTGGTAAGATTGAGCATCCTTTGGGTATATATCTAAAAGTGGTATTGCTGGGTCTTGAGGAAGGTTGTTTCCTAATATACTGAAAAATCACCACACTGACATCCAAAGGGGCTGTACCAGCTTGCATTCCCACCAGCAATGTAGAATGTTCCTTTTACCCTACAACCTCTCCAGCATAAGTTGTCATCAGTGTTTTTGATCTTGACCATTCTTACATGTGTAAGATGGAATCTCAGAGTTGTTTTGATTTGCATTTCTCTGATGGCTAAGGATGTTGAGCATTTCCTTAAGTATCTTTCAGCCATTTTCGATTCTTCTGTTGAGAGTTTTCTGTTTAGGTCTGTACTCCAATTTTATTGGATTATTTACTCTTTTGATTACCAATTTCTTGAGTTCTTTGTATATGTTGGAGATCAGACCTCTGTCTGATGTGGGGTTGGTGAAGATCTTTTCCTATTCTGTAGGCTGTTGTTTTCTTTTGTTGACCATATCCTTTCTTTACAGAAGTGTCTCAGTTTCAGGAGGTCTCATTTATCATTTCTCTCAGTGTCTGTACTACTGGGGTTATATTTAGGAAGTGGTCCCCCATGCCAATGCATTTAAGTACACTTCCCACTTTCTCTTCTATGATGTTTAGTGTGGTTGGCTTTATGTTGAGGTCTTTGATCCATTTGGGTTTAAGATTTGTGCATGGTGATAGATATGGGTCTATTTTCAT